GCGTCAGGATGTCCGAGAACCAGCCGAACGCCAACAACCACCACCCGGCCAACAACAACGGGGGTGGCGGGGCTGCCGGGGGGAACAACCGGGGTGTCCGCAACCCCAACCTCAACCAGAACCCCTTGATCAATGTGCGCGATCGCCTTTTCCACGCGCTCTTCTTCAAGATGGCAGTGACCTACGCTCGCCTCTTCCCACCCTCCTTCCGCCGCGTCTTCGAGTTCTTTGTCCTCCTCAAGGTGAGGGGCAGCTTTACGGGGGCTTTATGGGGAGGAGTGGACATTCCTCTTGCTAGCCTGCAGTCGGGCCCTGAGGCATGAATTTCCTTATAAACACAAAAAAGCTTGTCTCTGCTAGAGGTCGCAGCCTGTGTTTGGGCCACCTGCCCCGAGCTGTCCACTGAGCTCCCGTGGGCGCCTCTTCTGTGAGAAAGAGGTGAATAGTTGTAACGATCTGTGCTGGTCCCCACACCACCAGAGCTGGAAATAAAAAGGAAATCACTGAGCCAGCTTGCTGGGCAGCCAGGCTGGTGTGGGTCAGGTCCAGGGATGTGGCGTGAAAGATTTCTGTTTCCAAGCAATCACTCTTTTCGGATACATTGCATACATGAGGTATTTGATTGTTGGAGTTTTGTTGGAGTCTTGTCGTTTCTGGAAGCAATTAATGCACTACCCCATTTTAACCCCATTTCTTTTTAGCAGTCGGCACCCTCAGCTGTGCCTGCACAGTATCACACCTCTGTGTAACAGGGTGAAAACCCACCTGCTTTCTTGTTGATGTGGGTGCAGGATTGGAGACCCACAGAGGGGCCTGTCGGTGTCCGTGGGGTGAACTGCCCGTAGGTTAAATCCTGCACCGTGGCTTCCAGGGCGCACGCTGACACTTCTCGCCAGTGCCAGTATGGGAAATTAGAGTAAGGGGAAGGAAGGAGAGGAGCTTGCCAGGTGACAACAGTGCGCTTCTGCTCTGAGTTTCTAAAATTCAGCCTCTTAAAGCAAGAAAACATTTAGGACAACTTGTCTCATACTGCACATATACATTTTCTCCCCTCCCAAGAAATGTTCAAGGTTTTAACATCTCTCTCTTTTTTTTTCCCCCGTTGTATAACTGGATTCAGGCAGACAGGGAGACTGGAACGGGGATGGTGCTAACGGTGACGCTGTCAGGCAGAGCGAGCGGTCCAGCTGGTAGCGGTTCTTGCTGCTGTCTGCTTTTGATCAAAGCTCTCCCGAGGAAGTAAGAGTATTCACAGGCCATCTGCAGAGAACAGCCTGGTCTCGGCTCTGTGCACAGGGTGCTGGTAGGAGGTGAAGTCAGAGACTGTGGTCCTGCGCACTGCTGTTCGCAGAGTCCTGATACTGCTCGTGGTTCTGCCAGCTTCGACGTGGCTCCTCCTGCGACGAGGGAGGTGTTTCTGATTTACCTTCCCTAGCGTCTTCCAATGCAGCTCCTCTGCAGATGTGATGTTTACCGGTCTGTTTATTCACAGCAAATAGGTCAAGAACGAAATGTAGCAAGGACAGCTGGTTTAATTGGCAATGAGCATCTTAATGCAGTTGGAAAGTGATTGTATGAAACTCAGCTGTGCTGCTTACTGTACCGGCGTTTCTCAGAGCTTTCAGCTGTGAACTTTGGACAGCGTTGGGTAACATCATGCTAGATTTACTACCTTCGCTATAGGGAACGAATTTTATTAGTCCACTTTGTTTTGCTGTGACTTTACAGCTGTTTCTTGGACTGAGCCGGGGCAAGGGAGTGGTGATGCTCCGCGAGCCCAGCCTCGGCAGGCCAGCTCGACCTCCGCTGTGGCAGAGTCCGTACCTCGCAGCGGCGAGTGGCAGGTCTGAATGCGGAGCTGGCGATTCTGCCGTGGGTTTGTGTTGTCCTGCTCTTGTGGTGGGTTGTCTTTTGTTGAGGTTTGCTTTATTTTGCCTTTGTAAAGTTGGGCAGTCTTCTTCGGGCTTCAACAGGAAACACTTTGTGCTGAGGAAGGAAAATGGCTGAAAGCCACAGATGCGTTTCTGTTTCTTTCAGTATGCTTTGGAGCCTCATCACACGTTGGTGCTGTGTTTGATCGGTTTGCCTGCGGTGCAGTCATTTTGGGGATGTTGTTGGTTTGCAGGACCTTACGTGGCACTGGGGCCTGTGCGTGTGGCCTGTGCTTTCAGCAGGACACGTGTACCGCACAGGTATCGGTGGCAGCTCTGGTCTTGTGAACAGGAGGAGATTGTTCTTGCTGCTGTCTCTGCAGTGTTCCCCTGTTGGTACGGTAGTGCTGAAATTGCCTGATTCTGGGCTGCTTTATTGTTGATGCAGGACCGCCAGGGTTGGAAGGCATAAAAGCTCTTCTCCACTTACAAATCCATTTGTCTAAATTAACCCAGTGTCTTTATGGGCAAAGAAGAGACGGTTAAAACTGGGGAGTCTGTAAACAGGCCAAGGTTGGTTGGGCTGATGGTCTCTGCTTTGTTTCTTGCTGTGTGTAGGCTCTCTTTGTGCTCTTCATCCTGGCTTACATTCACATCGCCTTTTCCCGCTCGCCCATTAACTGCTTGGAGCACGTGCGAGAGAAATGGCCACGCGATGGCATCTTGCGGGTGGAAATACAGCGCAACTCGAGCCGAGCCCCCATCTTCCTGCAATTCTGTGGTGTTGAGAAGTTCCCAGGAATGGTAGTTGAGTCCACAGCTGAGGAAGAGGAGGAGGAAGAGGAGGAAATGACTGTGGATATGTTTGAAAACAGCTCTATCAAGGTAAAGACGTGTTCCTTCTATACACAGAAGGAAATAGGAACCTGGGTGTCGGTTTGGGGAGAAATGGTTTGTTAGAATCCTAAGTATGCCACAGTCCCTCTGTGAGCCCTCAGTCACCTGGAAACAGAGTGTGTTCCGTGGCTTTTCCTGAATCTCCACGTTAGCCTCTGATGGTTTAAGATAGAAAGTAAAGCCTGAGAAAGTGGCGGCCTCTTTTGTCCTCCTTTTGGTGGTGGAGGCCTTTGCCGGGGGCACAGAGGGAGCACAGAAGATGGGAACTGAAATGACTGCTAACATGACTTTCCCTGCCACGATTTTCCAACAGTTTGAGCTGGATATCGAGCCCAAGGTGTTCCTCAAGCCATCCCGGGTGAGCAGCACCGAGGCACTGACCCACAATGAAAGCCAGGAGTTCTTGTTTAGTGAAGCAGCCACTAAAGGTATGCAGCCTCTGAGGGAGACTGTGTCCGAGTTTGAGATGCTAGCCAGAGCAGGTAAAGACAACTTACGCTGCTATCTGTGCTCTCTCCTTCCCCTGCCCCGTGCATCTTCCCTGCACGTCTCATTCCTTCTGGCTTCTCTGGGCACGTGCATAGTAACCTTAAATGTCTTCCCTGATGCATTCCCCGGTGGTTAATCTTGCCAATACTAACACTAGATCCACAGCAAGATCTTTCCTTCGGCTGAGGGAGGCTGGGAGTCAGGGGTCGTCTGGGCTATAAAATTTCCTGAAGCTTCTTGGTCTGGCATCGTGTTTCTGCAGTGATCGGTGCCAGATATCTCAGATTAATGTGAACTTCCCTCTTCTGAGCAGCTCGCTGTCGTCTTGAGATCTGCAGGGATCCCACTGACAGCGCACATTCCTCCTTGTGTTAACAGGCTTTGGGCTGTATTTTGCGTCCCTGAGTCAACACCAGTACTTGGAATAGCTAATTAATCCTGAAAGATACTGAGCAAGTTTTAGTGGATTGCGAGATACAGCATAGCTGCTCTGCATCGTTCAGGATATCATCCTGCTTTATCCCTCCCCTTGTTCCAGCATGACTTAAGCTGCTAATGTCTCGTAAACTCTAGAGGGAGATCTAGTGGCTTTGTATTATTTAAAATGGAATTCCAGTGTTGGAAAACAACTGTTTCTAGCAGTTAGGGGAGGAAATCTATTAAAAAATAATGATGTTAAAACAGAAACATGGCAATTGGATTCTTATTTAATTTGCCTTTTTCACCTACACTTTTATCCCTGGAAAGACTGGAATTCTTTGCTCTTCAGAAGTACTGGGTGTTCTAGCTGTGGAGGATTGAGAGGCTGGACACTGCAATGGCACTGTTCCCTTGGTCTTGCAGTGGTTTTGCTTGATGCTGATCCAGAACTCATTAGTCCTGAATTTAAGATCATTAAGTCGCATAAGACTAGAGAGCAGTAAATATTTTTGGTGCAATACCTTTATTAATAATTGCCTAAGTTCTGCAAGAGTCACGTTGTACAGTGCTGTGCGCGCTGACGGGCTGTGCTTTGATTTGCTGAACGCCTGGTTGGAAATGATCCAGCAACGTGGTGGGAGAGAGAATTGTGCTGCTTCCCAATGTAGTTAAAAAATTCATCTTTTCAAATGGGTCCCAAATCCCCAAACACCTGTTTTTATTGGTTTTTTTCCAGGTTTCTTGTGCTATAAGTGCACCAAATTTCATGTTTAGACAGAATCTTTTATCGTGGAAAAATGTTTTATGATACAAAGGAAGTAATTCTTTTGTTGCTATTTAAACACTTTATTTCCATTTGAGCTTAAAACTGTTTTGTAATGGAAACAAAAGATGAAACAAACACACCCGCCTGCGTTTGCTGCCCAAGAAGTGGGATCAGAGGCGGGGAAGTAAAGTGGGCATTTCTGTCAGTGATGTGTCGCTGTAAGTCAGAAGAGGCAGGTACATTTCTTTTAAGTTATTGTATCCTTTTAACTTTTTTGCTGCGTTGTTGTGAGATGCCTGACAGCTGCCTCCCCTCACCTCTTGCAAGACACACTGTGACACTTCGAAAGATCAGGGATTAAATTGCTTGGCTCCGACTTAAGCAGGAGGTTTTGTCCTTTCAGAGATGATGTAGCAAAAAACATCTTTTTTTGAACTTTTCTTTAAAAAAAAAAAAGTAAATAAAAAATCAAGGAAACTTCAGGCACCAAAATTTTTTTGGAAAGCCGTAATTGCTCCTGCCTTTAGTTTTGAGATTTGTAATTGCAGCAGTGACCTCTGTCTCCTGAGAAGTGCAGTGCTCTTGCCCTGTGAAGTGTTCACTTGGTGTTCAGCAGGTGTTAAGTGTATTTTCCTGCTGTTTCCTTTCCTAAACAACATAGAAAGCAGAAATTGAACAGAGCAAGAACAAGTGGTCTAGGGCTCGCCAGGCAAAGATGTGGGCAGATTCTGGACAATGCTTGACAGAGCTTGGAACCACTGCCCTGAAGCTTTCTCAGAAGTTTCACATTAAGGACTAACGTCAAGGGAATGGGCTGCAATTTCAAAGAATTTGTATTGATTTGTTTTAAATTGGTTGAAGGAAGCCTGGAGCCTGTGTTTGCAACTAATTCTCTTTTCCAGAATGTGGTGGGAGGGAGGGAGGGAATCCAGAGGTGCTATTTCTTCTTGGTAGCTGTTTGCAAACCCTGCTGTTGAGTCTCCCTTCCCGCCCTCTCTTGCAGTGTGGCCGCAGGAAGAGTACATTGTGGAGTACTCCTTGGAGTACGGGTTTTTGCGCCTGTCCCAGAGCACTCGCCAGCGCCTCAGCATCCCAGTCATGGTGGTGACTTTGGGTGAGTGAGGGAGCCAGCCCGCTCTGGTGCAGGGGTGGGTGAGTGCTCTGCAGAGATACCTACGCGCCGTTTCCTCTTTAGTCTTGCGGAAACTATTTATAACAGTTGATGGCGCTCATTTTCCGTGTAGGAGAGCTTCTTTAAATTGCTTTAGTGGGTCATACCTTTCCAAGAGGAGTAGTCTGAAATGGTGGAGCCTGTTTCAGTGAGCCCTAATGTTGTGTCCAGCACAGTTTTCTCATTGAGGAAGGAAGAGCCTCATGGTACTGAAGATCTAGGCTTAGCGTGGAGCAGCAGCAGCGCAATGTTAGAGCCCAGTGGCGGGAGCAATTGCGCATGTGTCGGGGACGATGCTGAGCAGATCTGCTTGGCACTGTCTCAACGTACTTCTGTGCCCCTGTTAGCCCAGCAGACCGTTTTCCTGGAACAGCGTTCTCTTCACCTGGCATTTGCTCCATTAAAATCTGTCCAAGTCAGAAATAATGGTCTCAAACTTTCTCGTGCCTGTGATCATAATTGATCTGTAATGAACTGTAGTGCAGCAATCAGACTAGAGTTCGTTACTTACTCCTAATCAAACTGAAGCACAGCTGGGCTGGAGTATTAAGCAGTGATCCCGTATAGGTCATGGGCATGTTAAATGCCCAATAATTTCCATGTTAAATGTCTATTTACTGACCTGGGTTTTCCAATTCAGCTAGACAAATTCCTTCATAAGTATCCTAGTAATTTACTGAAAAATTATTTGTGTTCATGCTTCCTGTTTTGCTTAGATTTGGGTTATTTTTACAAGCTGATCAGTGTTTGTACAGTAGAATGCAGTACCAGCTTCATGAGATGGAATTGAACAGGCTTCGTTAGTGCCCAGAGCCGTGGGGAGGCGTTTGCGTGTCCTCCACTGCAGGAGGATGGATGGGGACGGTGGGCCCCAGCAGCGTCACGCTGAGTCCAGCTGATGGCTAAAAAGTCTCAGTTGGCCCACTGAGTCTTACCAGAACTTGTTTCTCTGGGCCATTAGTTGGCGTGAGCCTAGGGAGATAGTCCAAGCCTAGAAGGCAAACTCCCTTTATGTCTGTGCCAACAGAGAGTGTGACAGCCCTGATGTAATTCTTAAGGCCTGATTGACATTAGCATTTTGACAGCCTGGCTACATTTGTCAGGGGGTGACGTTTTCCCTCCCAGTCCTGCCCAATTTAGTTACGCTGCCAAAGGTCCAAGTGCAGACGCAGGTCTGCTGGCAAATGTGTCCTTCTGAGTGATGAGAAGACTGTGTGCTTGCCCTGCCGCCTCTGTGGCTTAAGGTATGAACAATCTGAATGGGGTTTTTTTGTCTTCTCTCTAGATCCTACCAGGGATCAGTGCTTTGGGGACAGGTTCAGTCGCCTATTGCTGGACGAGTTCCTGGGTTATGATGACATCCTGATGTCAAGTGTCAAAGCTTTAGCTGAAAATGAAGAAAACAAAGGTAAGGCTTGGAGGAATCGCTTTCAGCAGCTGTGCAGAGCAGTTGATGTTTTTATGATGGATGCATGAATATCGTCTTCTGACTATCGATTAATCTCTATGCAGGGAACGGTTCCCTGTGTTATGTAGGGATGTTATTGTCAGGGACAAAATGAAACAAGTGGGAGGGGAGAGATGTCTGCAAACGTGATGTCCTACTGCCTTATTGCACTGCGTAACAAGAGTGCTGCCGTGAGGAGGTGTTGCCATAGATTTGCTTTAAATCCTATTTCCTTAGAAAGCACTGGAAGTTTGTTCTTAGTTTGTGGGTTAATCGCACTGAGCTTGTGCCTTTTTTCTCAGGTTTCCTTCGCAACGTGGTGTCTGGGGAACACTATCGCTTTGTCAGCATGTGGATGGCTAGGACTTCCTATCTGGCAGCCTTTGTCATCATGGTCATATTTGTAAGTTGACGGGAGCTAGGCATTGCCTGGTGCTGGTCAGCGTATGTTTGATGTTACAGTACAGGCCTGAGCTCTCATCTGCTTTTAAAGCTAAGCTGATGGAGTACGAGGTTCTACTCTGGGTTTTTTTGATGTGGGTTCTTAAAGTCCTAGAACAGAAACAAACAGAGGAGCTGAAATAGAATGAAATAATGGGGGTGTTTTTGTCAAAAGGGAGATTCGGGTTCGAGAGCCTCTAAGTGTGGTTAAACACTCAGGGTGCCAAGGCACGGGGTGCGGAAGTTTGTCCTCCTTTTAAGAACAGGTCTAACTCATTTGCCAGGCGTGATCACGATAGAACCGAGTCTCCTGTGATTATGTGTGGGGTGATTACAGATAAGTATTAGACAAGATCCCAAGTGATAACTAAGCCTGTGTTCATAGTCTTGGGTGACTGTCTCCCTTTGTGTCTGACCGTCCACTGATGCAGCTCCTTGTACAATAATATTGTGGCCAGTGAGAGAGGAGGAAGTGAGTGCTGGGTGACCGTTGTCGGAGAGGCATTATGAGCTGCTGGGAGGAGCAGAGATGTAGGACAGGAAGAAATCCTAGTTCCAGCTCTGCTGCTGCTGTTTGGTTTGGCCCCTGCTCAAATATTCAGAATCGGTCTCTCTACAAACAAATTACTTACTGTCTATTTCACTGCAGTAATACAAAGACTAATTGCTGTTTGTGAAGTCTTAATTATTCTTTGGGAAATCAGTCTGCATAGCTCAAACTAACAAACGTGGGATATGCACAGCACGCTGGGCAACATTGCAAGTCCAAGCTCGCCTGTCCAGGCCTCTGCCGTAGCGTGATTCAGAAAGTGACTCCCTGGACCTGTGTGGCTCTAACGCTGGCTTCTGTTCTTGTATTTCAGACTCTGTCCGTTTCGATGCTGTTGCGCTACTCGCACCATCAGATCTTTGTCTTCATTGGTAAGGATTTTCTAAGGGATTTAGGGTGTACTGGACACTGTGCCTGCTCCAGCACAGTGTATCATGTATATACTCTTGACTGTCATCGTTTAGAAGGGTCCTGATGTAGCTGCACAGGGAATGTATCCCCCCTATAGCCCCGTCACCGTGCTTGCGAGAGCTGTTCTGTCTCTTGACAATTGTCAGGGCCGGTGGACTTGGGACAGTGGGCTTCACTGCACGTTGCAGTGCTCTGAATGGCGAGTAATGGGGTGGAGGGTTCCGTGGCCCCACATCCACTTTGTATTATAGTATGTTTTCTTTCTTGCAGTTGACCTGTTACAGATGCTGGAAATGAACATGACAATTGCATTCCCTGCAGCTCCCCTCCTCACTGTCATTCTGGCTCTAGTAGGTAAGGACATTAGCTCACTTCTTGTGAATGTGCAGCAATTCCCTTTGGGATCTGTAGAAAGTATAATTCCCTGTTCTGACCTGGCCACGGCAGGTGGTTAGTGTGTCTGCTCATCACAGGGTGGAAGGCTCTGGAATTTGATGGCACAGTGAGCTGCATTGTCCTTCTGGGTCCCCTGGAAAAGCAGTTCATTTGGAAATCACATAAACTGAAGCTTTGTCTGTCACTTTTAGTTCATTTCAGATTCACACTTCCTGTGACCACGTTGCATTAGCACAATTTGAATTTAAAAAACAAGCAACAAACACCACCCACCCCCCCACCCCCGAAATCTGCGCTGTCCGGAGCCAGCTGATCCTCTGGCCTGTGTAGTGACTGCAGTCAGCGGTGAAACATGTTCGCCCTTAGCTGCTGCTTTAAACGGAGCTAATTTGTCCTGCTGTGGTCTTTGCTGTACAGTCGTACAGCCCCGGCTCTGGACATGACGGAGGATTCCCTCACACGCCCCTCTGGGAAGCCCTTTGCCGAACTGGTGTCTGTGCCCTGCAGCGTGCTGATGTCAGACACCCTCTGTCCTGTAGGTATGGAGGCCATTATGTCAGAGTTCTTCAATGACACCACAACTGCGTTTTACATCATCCTTATCGTGTGGCTGGCTGACCAATACGATGCTATCTGTTGCCACACCAATACGAGCAAGAGGCATTGGCTCAGGTAAGAGCTGGCTGGGACCTGGCTCCCGTATTGCGCGTTCTCACTGCATGTCCCGTTCTCTGGTGGGAGGCTGCTTCAGATCCTTCCCAGCCCTCCCGGGCAGGAGGGCTTCCACTCTTGAGAGCTTCTGTACGTCTCCTTGGGAGCTGTCCTGCCTGCCACAGGGTCCAAAGTGCGATCGCTTCCACTTTGGGTCTTGTGCCTGGGTCTCAAGAATCACCTCAATCCTTTGCCTGCCCTTTGGTTTGCCCTGTTGAAGACCTGTTCATAGCGAGGCAATTCTAATTACCTGTTAATGGGAGTCTGCACCACCCTGTGCAAAGTGCCCCAGCTCAGAACGGAGTTAGGAGTGGGAAGAAACTCGCGTTTGTCCTGTCCGTTGACATATCCTGATGTTTATTGCCTTTCTGTCCAGGTTCTTCTATCTGTACCACTTTGCCTTCTATGCTTACCACTATCGATTCAACGGGCAGTACAGCAGCCTGGCTCTCGTCACCTCGTGGCTCTTCATCCAGGTGAGTAGCTGCCACTTCTGCTGCACGTTGGTGCAACCAGCTGCACAGGGGCAGGTGCCATCCTTGTGAATTCAGTCCTGGTCACTCCACCCGCCTCAGAGGGGTCTGGCTGCCTGCGATTTAAACTGTTACACTGCTGATTGCTCACGCTGCCTGTGCTGTTAAAAAGTGAAGGAAATCCACTGCAGTTGGTTTTTTATCAAACTTCTTGTCGAGCTGAGTTTGAGTAGGGATCTTTATTTATGTAAGAGATTGAAATAATCCCTGGTTTGGAAATGGAACAGCAGAAGGAGGCTATTGAACAGCAGGACTTTTTGGTCACTGGCTCAAATCCAGCCACGTGCCTGACAGTAGGCTGATGTCAAGTGAGTTTTGGAAGGCGTTAGGGAAGGATTTCTATCCCGTCTTTCTGGAAGAAATCCCACTGAGGATATCCCATGCAGAGGCTGAGGAGTTGGTCGTCTGTGCAGTGAAGATGCTGGCAAGACCACCTCCAAATTGATGTCTCCAGTATCCTGGGTCAAGCAAACCTTTTGTGTGTCTCTGGCTGTTGACCTGCCCCCTTTCTCTGCTGCAGGATGGAGACAGGGAACTGAGGATGGGCCAGAGAAGTGTCTTTACTCTTCTTGTTCTCAGCCCTTAAAAGGGAAGGGGGGGTTGTACTCCATTGCCTGTCTTCAGAGAGAAACTATAAAAGCAGCTTTCAGGAATCGTAGTAGAAGGGATAAATCTTTCCAAAATTTCAGATAACCTCTTGGCTATCAGAGCAGCCAAATTCTCCAGTCACTGTCTTCACAGTGAGAGGAAAGCATAGTTTTCTAAGGTATGTCTGGGCTCGCAGCCCAGGCCCAAGGAGTGACTCCTTTCTCTTTGCCTTCTCTAGCATTCGATGATTTACTTCTTCCATCACTATGAGCTGCCAGCCATTCTCCAGCAGATCAGGATCCAGGAGATGCTGTTGCAGAACCAGCAGGTGGGCCAGGGGACTCAGACAACACTCCAAGACAACCTCAACAACAACACTACAGCTGCCCCCGTTGATGTGGGGAGCCGCCGACCCCACCTGGCCGCCGGACCCTCTGGGGAGAGCAGCAGCACGGCTGCCCTGACGCCCAGCGAGGCCTCCAGTGTCATCGCTGCTGCCACAGCGGCTTCTGTTGGCAGCGACCTGAACTGGGTAGCTGAGACAGCTGCCATCGTTACAGAAGCCTCGTTTCTCTCCGACCTGAGCACTACCCTCCTGGAGCCAAATGTGGTGCACGAAGCCATGGCCAACGGGAACCCCCAGGATGCTGCTGCTGCCTCCAGTTTGGTTGCCCGCATCAGGGTCAGCAGCGACCACCCGGAGACGGCCATGGGCTCCATCACCATTGAGGTCACTTCAACATCTGTGGTGGCTGCAGCAGATGTTCCCCCCGCTGCAGAGGCGGCACCAGCTGTGCCCCTCGTCCCGCTGCAGGAGGAGGGGGCCTCACTCCCCAGCCCTTCCCTTCCTGAGCAGACTGAGGCTGTCGAGGGCTCAGACAGCCAAGCAAAACCTGGCGCCAAGAACTGCGTTGCAGACAGCAGCGTGGCAGAGACCCCTCCAGCCTTTGTGGAGGAGGCTGACCAGGACAGACGCTTGGGTCGTGCTCTTGGGGACCGGGGGGAAAGCAGCCCTTGCCCAGCACCGGCGGATAGTACACCTAGCTCCAAACCTTGCTCGGAGCCAGACTTGAGGAGCCTCTCTTGAGTCCCTGTTACTGTAATTCTGGACTGCCAGGAAGGCATTTGGATTTCGTTTGTTACTATTTCTCACTTCACCGTCATCCTTAACCCATGAATTCCTCTTAACGGAGGCAGAGCAGCTGGGACAGAGGAAAGGTGCTGCAGTGAAATCCCCTGGGAAAAGCACGTGTGCGCTTGTGTACGAGAGGCTGACGCGCGTGGGACTGCTGGGAGGGAGGGACGAGGCGTTCCCTCCCACGGCCTGCGAGGCTCGGGGGCCTCCTGCCGCGGCTGCAGGCGAGCAGGCTGCCTCCTCCAGCCCTGCAGTCGGCTCCGTGCCCGCACTTTTCCTTGCCCCCGGCTGCCCCAGCGTTGCCCCCTGCGGTCGCGTTTGCAGTCCAGGTGCTGTTCACAAGCGTCAGCTGATTTGTGACAGACCACGCGTGTGTGGCAGCTTTCTGGTTAGAACAGCAGCTGCGTACGAACGGGGAAAGTGTTTTCGGACATCCTTGGGAGAGCCACAGAAGGCAGAGGAGAAACCTGGTAAACTTTCCTTCTCCTTAAGGAGAAGGAGAACTTAAGACCTTCCCCAAACACTAGATCTGCTCATGCCAGGGCAAAGCTGGGCGATAACCAAAGCAGAAACTGCAGTTCAGCCCCATTTTTTTCGTCCTTGAACTTCCCTCGGTCAGTGGGTTTGAGGGGTAGAAGCTGCCGTGTGCAGGTTAGAGCTTCCATCCAGGAGAGATGCGTTTGGCTGGGCTTGGAAGCAGCGGGGTTGATTCCTGTGCTGGTCAGCCATGGAGAAATGCTGTCCCTTCTGCTGCTGGTGACCTCCGCGGGGGCTTTGGGAATTTAGCTCTCTTAGATGTATGTGGCCAGCATAAAGTGGGAGCTACTGGCACAGGCAAATGGTCTCAAGTAATATCTGCTGGGAGCTGATCTGTAGCGTCGGTGTCTGTAGCGATGTTTGGGACAAGGAGGACAGCAGCTCTGCCTCTGTACAACTCTGCTTTGGCGCCTGCCGCTGTGGGTGATGTAGTTTGCTTTTCAGTGCCTTGTCCCTTCAATGGGACACGTCCGCATTGAAGATCAGCCCCATCCCAGAGGAGGGAGCAGCTTTTCACTGGCTGAACTGTGGCATGAGATGGTTTAGCAAAGAACCAAAACACTAAAGCCAAGACATTTCAGCTAATTTTCCTTCATTTCCCTGGCAGTGGAGGTGAGGCTGGCTGTACCCGACCCCTCCGCGATACAGCTGGCTGAGTTGGGGGGCTGGGACGGGGACCGGCTGCCCCTGAGGGTGGGCTGGACCCAGGCGGGGATATGGCTGGAAGGAGGGTTTACGCTTGTAGGTAGAGCGGGGCGACACAGGAGTGTGTCGTGTCTGTAGGGCTGAGAGGAGAGAGAAGCTCGGGGAGAAACGTGGTGGAAAAGGGCAGCGCTGGGAGGTGACACGTGGGGCACTCTGCTCTTTGGGGGGCAACTGGGTCGCTGTAGAAGTGTCCCCGAGTTCAGCCTCATCTCCCCACAGCTGAGCAGCGTCTGTGGAGTCCATCCCCCTCGGAGGGCTCTTGTGTGCATTTCAGTGTCTTCCACCAGGAAAGGGTTCCCATGTCAGCACCGTGGGGGCTCAGAGCCCCCCGTTTCACTTTCTCTGCATTTTCTGCCCAGGTGCCCCCCCCCTGAATGAAGAGTAGAGTTCATTCTATTTAATTAATGTACAAAATGTGTTTGTATATAATAATAAATACTATATCTAACAGCTGCTGTGGTGCTGCTCTGGTGTCCTGCTAGCAGTTGTGCTGGGTTCCTGCTGGAAGTTGAGGTGTGAGGATCCTGTGGCTCGCCGGGGA